TGTACTGTACTAAGTGATAGTAGAGCCGGCAATGGGAGAACATGCAATCTTCAGCATGGAGAGGCAAGTCAACGCAGGCCACTTTAGGAATTTGTATCGATAACCTTTATGACCTATACGGGCCTTGTAACACTTGAAAACTCCCTTCACGACAACTGATATTCTGCTCAAACCGTCGAAGAAATCGCCAAGCTGCACAGTGGGAGCGCACGCGAAGTATTTCGAGTTCACCTGGGGGTTCACAGGTCAGTGGTTTGAAATTAAGGTCTTGATGCTGCCAGGAGCAGTTGGCCAGGTGCCTGATCCGCCGTGCAGCTGCGGCGTTTTCAAATATCCCGGCCGTTATCAGCGCCTGTAGCCTTAACCGGCTCGGTGAGCGCTCGGCTCAGCGGACATGTGATCGATAGCCTGGTTTTAATTACAATCCTCGGCGATACAAGTTTAAGAGTGGCACCAAAACTTTAAATCTTCGGTCTGGTACAAATGAGCGAAAAGAAAAGAACTCTGAAATGAAAACTGCCATAACAGACGTGTTCTATGAAGTACAGTATACTACATAAGGTGTGACCACCTATCTGTTTTATGTGTAAGAAAGATCATAAATATTCCATCTGTTATCAGTCTTTGTTCGCTAGCTCGGCTCAACAGACACGTGGTCGATAGTCTGGTTTTAATTACCATCCTTGGCGAAACAAGTTTAAACAGAGTGACCCCAAAACTTCAAGTATTCAGTCTGGTAAAATCAGACTCTCAAATCGTGTTAGTTCTAAAATTTATCTAGAGACTGTCATTTATCACAAAGCTGTTATGCTATAACGTGTTACACCAGCCGCCTATGTTCAAGGAGTACAATATACAAGGCGTGACCAACTGTCTCTTACATTTGCAAGATCTTTTTATGCATGTTCATGTACAATTCCAGCACTCAACTAAAATGATTATAAGTACTTTTGATAGCAGAAGTATTTATTTATTTATTTATTTATTTCAGCTTCATTACATAACAAAGTATGTAATTGGACAGGGGGAACAGGTCTAGCCTTTGTCTTAGCCCCCTGTCCAAAATACTCCATGTCCAAAGTACTCTGTATCTCTTACTTTACAAAATGCCCAATCTCGTTTACATTTGTGTTTACCCTTTACAGATGAAGAAGCCTGGAACTCAGAGAGCTGCCAACAAAATGAACCGAGCCCTCCTGATAGTCTTATGTGCTGCCTTTTCTCTTGTGGGTGAGTACAAATACGTTTTATACCTATAACTGTATATTTTCTGAAGCAAGTGAGATAGGTATGAAGCTTCGAGTGGGATACGTTAACACATCACCATGATTTGTGTTACTTTATATTGATTACTTAATCTGTCTTGTTTTTGTAGGATAATGTGTTATGTGTGATGGTTTCACACTCAGTGTTCTGAATTGCACATCTGCTGCGTTGCTCCAGGCAACGCAGTAAATTAGTGGTGTATCTTGAAATGTGATAACAGATAAAGTTCATGTTTTATGTGTAATATACAGCCCAGCTGCATATATTATAGCGTTCTGTTGTACCCTCATATTGGGATAGTCCATGTATCAGCAAATCTGTTAATGCTGTAAATTATACGTATCTCAGAACTGTAGATACAGTGCGTGATAATCTGATCAAGTTGATGTAATAAGTCTATATGTCAGCCAGACTGAATACGTCGAGAATGGCGGAATGTGGTTGTTTCGCATAACCGGTAAAACGCCTTTAGGCGTAACACACCAGTTCTGTACATATAAGTACAAGCTTCGTAAGACCGGAGTGAAGGACTGTAAAGTTTGAACCACTCACATGGGGAAGGACCCCTACTAGTGCGGTGGGTTCTTTAACGTGCGTGGAGTGTGGTTCTCCCAAACACGGGACCTCCATTAACGTCCTATCCGAGGAACGTCCTTAACTGAAGCTAGGTACTCATTTCCACCTCAGTGAAGTAAGGAAAGTCCTGTAAAGTGCCTGTAAAGTGATATGGTAGTGAATTCGAACAAGTGGCCTCTTGGTTCAGAGCCGAACACGCTACCATTTATGATAGAAGAACGTTATTGCACGACAATTGCACATGGTGCAATGTATGGCAAACTACATAAAGAGAGTAGCAAACAATAAAATGTGTTGAACAAGACCTAATGTCGAATAAACCTAACATATCTACATCATAATTATTCAAATAATAAGGGATAGCAGAAGTCTTTGATAAAGTGTAACAACCGAGTGGGCGCGTTTCGGAATTTTTTTCTAATAACAAGGCATTCCTTTAAATATTTACCTTTTTTTGCATTGTGGGGAACATTACATGTAAAGATATATTCAAATCTGTCACACGACCCCACCGCGGTGTCCCTGTTAGCACACATCGCTAACAGGATGATGGAGTGAATGAGTCCGTCAGTCACAACCCGGGCGTGCAGGTTCATCAGAAAGGGCCGCGGATCGAACGCGGGGATCACACACGTGATGGAACTCTGATGCACAGGCACAACTCGTGGCAAATGTTGCAGAGAGGAACAGAAAATGTTGGCCAAAGGTCACGAAAACGCATCAGGTATGAAGGAAGATAAATCACTCCGAACTCAAAGTAAAAATCAGCAGCTCGGGGTAGCGGCGTTCGCTGACATAGTATGGATGAAAGGTCCCTGGACAGGTCAGACAAAGTTGCCTAAATAGCACGTTGCTGCGTATAGTTATTTTCTTTAGTTACACAGTGAAAGTGTGCCATTTGTTCTGCTCTGTGAATCACACATAATAAAATGATTAATTATTGAGCTTCCTGCGTTTGTCACTGTTATACACCCAACTGTGGGTGTTGTACAGACATTATCAAAGATTGTCAGGGTCGACGAGAAATAGCATACTATCTTTGCACTAGCAATGACTACTATAATGATACTCGTGACAACATCTTGATGTTTTGACCGCAGAGGATGGATGCTGCATGTTTAGCATTTTCTTAAAAGAACAACCCACGTTTAAGATTTTATAACTATTAATATTAATATTAATATTAGGTGATCACAGATTGACACGATATGCATCATCACTAGCGTGGCCATGAGCTATCCTGTTCACAAAAATCAGGCGTTTCCTGCTAGCCTTGCCGCCAGTCCACATGTCTCTCTTAGTCTCCTTGGTCCCTGCTAATGCCACACCGACTTAATTTTATGGATGGCATCCTCTGAAGACCCCCCAACTAGTGTGCGCGGGCGAATAAAAAAAATTCCGGCCAAAAATAAAAATGCTGCTAAACCACAGGAATACAAAGCTGGTATTGTGAATTTGCGGCAGTATATAACGACGTATACGACAAGTCGGCTTTTTGCGGATCGGCACTGTACGGTATGTACTGAGTTCTTGAGTCGTGGAGCTTCGGTAGCCTGGGTGCCATCCTCCAGAGTTACCACCGGCTCCCTATTGTCACTAACTACCATGGACTACCCAGGCCATTCCACTACCCATTCTGTTAGGCAAACTTGATAAGCTTGGCTTTGACAGTGACGCCATGAAATGGTTTTCCTCTTACCTATCTGAGCGCTTCCACTGCACGTGCCTTCAGGGTCAACACTCTACAAAAACTCGGGTCTCCTGTGGGGTTCCTCAGGGAAGTGTTCTCGGGCCCCTACTGTTCTGTCTGTACGTTAACGACTTACCCAACGTCATTGAAAAATGCAGCATCCACATGTATGCTGATGACACAGTCCTGTACTACTCGGCTGATTCCGTGAAGGTCTGTGAAGAGACTGTCTCTATGGACATGAAGAGAGTTGTAAAATGGTTAAATGAAAACAAGTTGTTGCTACATCCTGACAAGACCAAATCGATGCTCTTTGGGCTCCCTCAGAAATTGAGGCATGCTGGGACATCCGTCAACATAACAGACGGTGTGAACGTATATAAGCAAGTTGACTCGTTCACCTACCTGGGCATTACTCTCGACCCATCACTCAGGTGGGCAGCACATGTGCACAGAATCACGAAGAAGCTTCTTAGCGGACTCGGAGCCATGGGGCGTGCTAGAGCCTTTGTTACAAAGGAAGTTCTGCGTACCATGTACCAGATACTACTACTGTCTCATCTGGAGTATTGCGCCACAGCATGGCTACCAAGTCTTGTACAAGGCAACAAGACTCTTATGTCACAGCTGGATAGACTGGTCAACCGAGCTGCAAGGCTTATTACAGGTCACAAACTCCAGGACCATGTCTCAGCGGTTAACCTGCGAGCTGAGGCAGGGATAGATTCTGTGCGCAAACGGACAGAAATCACAACTCTTGTCAATGTCTTTAAGGCAATTCGTGGTAGTGCGCCGGTGTACATGGCATCTCTGTTCAAGTGGGAGACTCCTCCAACATTAAGCGTACGGACTACTCGCTCAGAGTTAAAGCGTCTTAGGGACTACGACCCTCACCTACTCTTCTGTCCACCAGCAAGAGTCACGGCATACCGGAGCAGTCTACAGTACTATGGTCCTTACCTGTGGAACACTCTTCCGCTACAGCAACGACAGCTCCTTAGTCTCAGGACTTTTAAACAAACATTAGAAGCAGGACTTCTCAGGACTTTTAACACAGATCATTAGGAGCAGGACTTCTTAGGACTTTTATACAGGACTTCTTAGGACTTTTATACAGAGCATTAGGATTTGACACTCTTGATGTTTAGGATGTTGTAATTTTAGTAATAGTTTATGTAATGTATATTTGTTGTGTGTATTTTTATATGTATCCAGGATTACCTGAAAAGCAGGCCAAATTGGCCTGAGTTGTAATTACTGGTTAAATAAAATAAATTGAATTGAATTGAGGCCTAGAGTCAGGCCTATAACATGACTGACACGGCAATCATTGTATCAGGCTCATGATCTAGATATGCAATCATGCCACGGAGTCCTACAGATCTGGAGAGATATTCTTCGTATTTTCTTTCGAAATGGAACCGGTGTTTTCATTAATGGTGCAATTTTTCTCCGCCTTGCAGGGGTATCCGAAGCGCGGTGCAGCAGATCAAGGCCAAAATGTAAGTGGCACTCAAAACGTTTTTCCATCAGAAAATGTTACAACGCATTGCACTGGCCCTGGAGGAAAGTTGGTTGGATTTACCAGTGGTAGTAAATGCCAGGTAAGTCTGGTAATGTTTAGTTTATAACATTGCTGGATTTAACAAAGGCAGCAAGTAAAAAATCAAGTCCGATAATTTCATTTACAACCATTGTTAATTCCGGAAGAACTTGACTTTTAGTTACAAGTCTAGTACTGTTTACCACGTTTACCGACTTTACTTGCATTTACTACCATTTGTCAGTCCAACGTTTCATTGTGGTGTTTCATTTTGGAAATTCAACGATTATAGAGACATGGTACTCAAAATGTTCAGTATTAGGTGTGAGCAATGTACTTCTACACTAAGTAATTGTCATGTAAAAAATGAGTGAGTTTTGTATACTTACTTGTACTTGATTAGGTTTACTTAGCTTAGTCAGTTCTTCGAGATACTTGGCGGTCGTGGGCGCTTCTTTTTTGTATGCAAATAGGAATATATAGATTTAGAGTTAATCACAATGATCACTATTTCATACTTTATGCCATTTATCTTGAAGAAAATATTTTCTCAACCACTTATTTTTTTTCTTTTTAGCTTGCGGAAGGACCGTGTCTGCGTACCGCGGCTGGATCAAATCCCCGGGGTTTCCTCGGCCGTATCCTTCCGCCATGACAGAGGACGATCGGGTCTGCACGTGGACCATCCGCCTCCCGCAGTCCAGGGGCATCAAGATCACACTCTACGGCTTCGACTTGAACTTCGAACAGACCGGGGTCGGACCGACGAACGACGCGCTGCACATCTACATGGACGAGTCGTGTAGCAGTCTGCTGAGGAGTTACGAGGGAAACTTTACCGACGCCGACCTAATTCACATTCCCAGCAACACGGCGTGCATCAAATTCCTCAGGAGGACCCAGCAGAATTACCAGCACAACGGATTTTCCTTGGGTTATGAAGGTATATTGATTTTTTTTCTCTTCCAATCTGCTCTCCAAGATTGCCCGAAGAAGATTTACCTTAAACCCTGCTGTCAAGTGGGAGCGCTCCTGTCAGGGTATTTTAATAACACGGCGTTTCTAAGTAGGACTGATTATTAATCTACAGACAAATCACATGTTGTGAGGGTATGTCTCTTCACATTACTTTTATGACATTTCTTTAGACAACTACACGCGGATAACCGTGCTAGGAAAAAGCGAATGGATGTAAAGACACCGTAATTGACCTCAATGTGGCGCATAGATCTGTTCGCCTGGCTCCATAATTCCATTTTAAATTTTTGATATGATGTATTGTCTGCATTTATGGCCCATTTGGAGATTGCGAGGCAGCGTGCATATTGTCCTAATGCAATCTCAAACCGTGAAATTTACTTATAACATAAAACAATCATTCATAACTCCGTATGCTTTGCTGATGTGTAAAGCAAAATGATTATAAGTATCTATCTATCAATATTCATAGGTGAGTATGAGAATCAAACGTCTACTTAAAGTCATCTATTCGATTTGTTCTCACTCTGAATATGACTTATGACAAACGATCTTTCATAACTCTGTATATTTTACTGATGTATGCAGTAAAGCAATTTGTATTGACATATCTATCAATAGTCTTAGATCAGTGTATGAAAAATCAAATATCTTCTTTCCAGTCTTTTCTTTATTTATTCTTTGAATAGGGGAGGAAAAAACTTTTTTGCGCGACAATTATAGCAGGTGCAATGTATGGCAACTTGTACATACGTATAAGTTGGGCTATTAATAATATATAACAACTTTAAGACACTTTAATCTAATTCTACGAAGAAAAACGCAGTGCTGAACTCTAGTGAATACCGATGGGAACTGTTACTCACTGACAAGCAACTGGATAGTTATCTCAAAACTGTCAAACATTTTAAGTGGCTTCCACTACTTCTCCTCATTGACCGTATTGCATACCGCTGGAAACGTCTAATAGTTTTCCATCCAGTTGCTTGAAAAACAATTTACCTGTGTATCGTATTACCTGGGTGTCTAACCTTCATCGACGTAACTGTAGTATATGTTTTACAGCTGTAGATTCTAGCGACGACTGCGACAACAACCAGACAACCACGTTGGTGTCAGACGAGGGCTACATCTACAGCCCGGGATACCCTGTCACCAGTTACCAACAGGAGCTGAACTGCAGCTGGCACATCCAGGCCCGGCCCGACCAGACCGTGCAGATCACCTTCCTGGACTTCCAGCTCAGCTATACCTTCAGCTGCGACTTTGCCACGGATTACGTGCAGGTGTTCGAGCTGAACTCGTCCATGAACTTGAAGTACTGTGACCAGGACTCCCCGGCACCCTTCTCCAGCTACTCTAACAACGTCTGGGTGGTCTTCAAGTCCGGCAGGTGGAGGAATAAAGGCTTCTGGCTGCACTATAAAGGTCAGTGACGTTTAGAAATATATAATGGAATTCTTTTGTACTATAAAGATTAATGACGATTGGGAATATGTAATAGAGTTCGTTATTGCAAGTTCATACCTGATGACCAATTGCAAACAGACATAGGCTAGGAGAATGAGTACAGAACGTATTGAAGAATGGTAAAATGCACCTACGTTAGCTAACTTAAAGATAGACTTTTGTTGCTTGGTGATGATTAACACTCTAGCTTGTGTCCTGGTCCCAGCTAACACAGACGGTGTTCTGTCGGACGAACCCATCCCTGACTACCGCCAGATCGTGGACGAGTGGAGGAACTCAAACTCCGCACTGATGCCGTACGAAGGTAAACTCTCGGAATTCGCCCCAATTGGTATTGACAATCTCTCAGCAGATTTTATGGGGCAAGGTGAGTCTATATCGGCCGCCTATAACCATTGGCTTAGAAGATACTGCCTTGCCAATTTAATACTGTCTTGCAGCCACCAAAAGATCTTCTTGGATATCAATTGACAACTACGTTTTAACTCTTGTCCTGCTGGCTATTTTTCACAATATTTTTTAATAATTTCATGTCTTAATTAGGTCATAGACCCCTGACTTTTTGTGCCCTGCAGTGGCATAGTTACTTGCGCATTTGCTGCCTTTCACTGCCGTGCGATGCGTTGCACGAGAAATACCCCCAAATAGTACCTATACAAGGTGTTATATAGATGGTACTGAATGTGCAGAACGACATATGTTGGGCTCCTCAGGACATTAAAATACTGGTAAAGGAACACAACAAGGGAATATTGTTTCCTTGATGTTACCTTGTATCAATTCATATTTACTTCTCCAGGTAGGGAAAGGGGAGCAAGACCATGGCAATCTTATACCGAATCAAAAGGACACTTTGGTAAGTAATGGCATCGTCAAATTTTTTAACCCTGAATTGCTGCGCAAGGAATGCAACTATGTTGGATTTTCAATATTGAATCTGCCTTACAGAGAAGTTTCGGTGTTGCATGCAGTATAGCATTAACGTACATATAACCGGCACGAGTAAAGATATACTGGGCAGTAAGAATGATTGTAAGTGACTTTGTGGCTGATCTCTTTCATCTCCAGTGGCCATGCCGCTTTGTCTGGTAACACCGCTGGTGGTCACAGCCGTCTGGACTGCAAGATTATAGCTCTCATTCCTGACGTAGACGCAATGTATATAAATAATAACCTCTTTCACATTCTTAAGTACTACGTGGAGAAAATATGTCGTTGTATTTATGATCACAACCCATCATTATACAGGCCTATGCTCAGGCACCGTTCTGGATAGTCGTATCTAGAGCCGTGCTTTATCCAGAACTATGCACTAATGCTTAGGTCACATTTCCAAGCCGGGGCCCGGCCGGGCTGTTTGTATTAACGAAAAATTAACAATTCATATCAGGAATATACAGAAATAGTGCCCATGATTGTTGTTAAAAAAACTTTTCTGTTTTTTGTTGTCTTTTATATCATATTTTCCTTCCCAAATGGTGCCCGGCCGGGCCCCGTGTGGGAATTGTGACCTCAGCATTAGGCACGGTTCTGGATAGTCCACGGGTTGTAATTAGAACCCTGCTTTATCTAGAACCTTGCTCAAGCACGGTGTAGGTAAGTCCACCCGTATCCGGAATCGAAAAGGTTCGGCTTGTGTCCGTAGTTATTTCTACATGCTATGCATGTAGGAGACACAGACAAGAAATTATGAATCCCACACAGGTCCCGGAACAGGTTATCTCATTGCATGTCTGTTGCCTCGTGCTTCCCAAGCTGTTTGTAGATATTATATTCGTATGTATAGGTCTACTTTCTATTATATTATTCGAAAGGGACAAAGTATCCAAGTTTGTGTAGTGTGTTTCCTGTCCAACTTCGTAGTCAGGCAGCCTGGCATTGACCTGTGAAGACATTTCAAACGCCGAAGTATTGTCTGCATGCAAACATTTGTCAATGCGTTTACAATCCCAATGGCTGAGACTGTATACAAAACGTTTCGAGTCAGTTTCATGTATTGATTTTATTAGTGTCATTCAATTCTGCAATGTTGTGATGGAGGTGCAGTGCAATGTAGGTTTTGGATGATGAGGGTTTTCGTGCTTGCTATGTACATAAATGATGTCTGACCCGTGTTGAATAAAAGTGATCTGATATTATGATAAGCATTATCTAAAAAATGTTAATTTTGCACTTAAAATTGACAATATATCATGCAAACATATGAATGTCACAGAACAGAAACTGCGGGATCCTCAAGGCATACATCAATGGAAGCATGTCATGAGATATATGATTCGTACAAACAAACTTTTCGAAACAAACTTTTTTTCTCCTTCGATTTTGTTTGATCTTTAATTTCAACGGTGTATTTCATTTTCGTATAATCTTAATTAACATAGTCAAGCATCTTCAGTGTTCTTCCAACAACTTCTAATAAGTAAACGTTAGATAATGGAAAAAGTCCCCTGAAGATGAGGATGGGACAAGGTGATTGAATCAGTTGTGACCTGTAGAAGCCTATAATGTCATTTCAGGACATTTACCGACTAGACTGAATTCCTAGAACCGCATTAGATAATTCCAGGAAGGCGCTGGCAGACGTCTCTCTGGGTAGGGAGGATTCTCTAAACCTGTAATTTCTAGAGTCACAGACACTGCACAAAGACATGCGACATCAATCTCAGCCATTATGAGTCGTTAACTCAGATCCAAGGGTTTAGGATGTGCTTTTAGTTGGAGGAGAAGAAAGGTTCATCACTTTGGAGATGAAGGTGAAGGTGATTTTGAGATTAAAGGCGGTACAACCTGAATTCCATCAGCCGCAGAGTACAACCTGTGACGTCAGGACTGGAATAGACACGTGGCAGGAACCGGCCAATAGCAGACGCCAGGAAAGATGTGGTGTGTCTGATTGGAGATTGGTGGAAGTATGGCGATAATAAGGGGTTAATGCCCCGGCCCCGCCTCATCCTCGGTGTTTATCGTGAGATAATCCCTGGTCAGATGGGATAACCGCCGAATAAACCACAGAGTGTGCGTAGTTATTCAAAATAAGTTCAATAGAATATTCAAAATAAACTACAATAAGTTTTAACAGACAAATACTTCAAGTCTTAAACTACTGTTAGTGTTCTGTCCCCTGTGTAATGGTATGGTCCGAAAAGCGGTCGGTTATTCTAATAACCAACCACTTTTGAGGTTACGGCCTGCTAAACAATGGGAAATTAGCCGACGTCTTCTGGCTACATGATAATAGAATATATGCGATATATGATAATTCTATGCCTATTCCATGCTTTATCGTGAATTTGGCCTTTCATCCTACCAGTGAACCAATTTGCATAGTCTAGTGTGAGGCGCCAGACTGTGCGGCGATACTTTGTATTTTTATTTGCTTTCTGTTCCTTATCATACCCAGACTGTTTTGACGGATCAAAGTGAATGTGCCAATATCTGACTTACCGGTTCCCCGTTGCCCCACAGAAGTAATAGCTGTTAATGTCACAGTTGATAAACTTTTGTCAAGGTTGACTTACTTCTCTGCGTAATGCCCATGCCTACGCCATATGAGTCTTCGCCGAATCGATATGTGAGTGATCAAACTAGAAAAATGGAATGATTTGTCTCATGCAGTCGGCTTAAACAGCTTCTTCTTAGGCCATGTTGATTTGATTATATGGATGACATCCTCCGGGAGCCAAAAACTGATGCGCGCGTGCGAATAAAAAAAAGTTTTGCAAAAAAAAAAAGTTCTTTTCATTATGAAATCTACGTGGTCATGAGGGTTGAGCAAATGGGACAGAATATGGTTTGGCGAATAATCTAGTGTTCAAGTTCATTTCTTTACAATTTCGTCTTTTTCGTTTGATTTTGGCATTCTACGACATTGGTATAGTTTTTATTAATTTATTTTTGTAACTTATGGTATATTTTTGCTCATTTTGCAACTGTTTTGTACGATTTACAGTATGGTTGAAAACTTTTTTTTTTTGGAAACGGCCGAAAATTCATGCGCGCGTGGATGTCATCCATATAATCAAATCAACATGGCCTTAGGGAACCTGCCCGATTCTTCAATATCGGTAGAATACACAGTCCATTTCAGTCGCTTCAGTATCGGAAGAGTAGATGTAAGGATGTTGAGATGGTAAATGCTAGGTCTTACGAAGCTAGCATTGTCGACAACATTATGGAAATCATAATAGCCTATGGCATAGGCAACAAACATGCACTCATAGGTCGATTATCTTTTTGTTTCTTTGCGAAGTTTTTCCTAGCTTAGCCACCAGTCCTTGGGATTACCCTTATAACCTAGTATATAGATTGCTGCATCTGGTCTTTATACTGAAGCACTTGAATACTGACAGGTAGATATTACTCTAGATGTTGGGTAATGACCGCCATCACCGCGTTAATATCAAACTGGTTTGTCATTGATTTTATATCTAATTGGCTGGCTGATCACCTCAAGAATAAAACCATAAGAAGTATCATGTATAAATAGCAAAGTTCTTTCTATCACAACCATTTATTTTTCAAGCCAACGTTTCGATGTCCTGCTGTCATCTTCATAAGGGCAATTCTGACTGGTTTACTGTGCACTGACACTAGATGTGACTTGGTGCATAGTGCACTAACATAGTGCATAGTGCGAAACATTTGCTTGAAAAATAAATGGTTGTGATAGAAAGAACTTTGCTATTTAGTCGTTTACCAACCTGATGAAATTATTTACGGAGTATCATGTATAGTTCTATTACTATACATTCAAGATCTACGTTCGAAAATTTACCCTCTGACGCGTACACGGCCGTACGCCTGCCTGATGTCAATACCATTTTATATGCAGTACATTTTCGATGGTATACCGTTCAATATAATTTTACGGTCATGTGGTTTTTACGATTATGCGCTTACAAATGGCAGCAATTGGCTCTGAATTAAATGCGGATGATTTGTTTTACGGACGTCCTTCCGTTTGTCACTTTCCTTCCGTTTAATGTAGTTTAACCGCGACAAGATTCGCGTTCTGAAGCTTTGGTTTTAGTTTGTTTTTTCATACGTTTAAAAAGAAATTAGATAACATAAATAACACAGAAGAAAACGTTCCGAGAGCGAAGTCATAAGGCTTCTTTAAATGATAATAGCAATAATAAGTGGACAGTAAAATCATGATCAAATAATAAGTGATAACATACAAGTTAATGATAATAATGAAAATAATTAAGATCTCATTCGACTCTGTAGTGACGTTTAATTCGAGTCATAAACTTGATGAAAGGCAGGAGTTCCTACATGCCCAGGCTCTGGAGTGTAGCAGGCTCCAAGGTATGACATCAGGCAAATGCAATGAAAAGTTTTTTGTCACCTTTTCTGTACTATTTGTGACCTTATCGATTTTAAACGGATACTTCATTTACGAATTAAAGGTACTAAGGTACCATTGTAACGACATTAAGACTCTACATTCTGCAACAAACTTCTTGAAATCGAATGAAAAATATTGTTATCAACCATAAAAATGGAGATATTAAATGTAAAACATTCCCATGCAGGGAGGTCTCGTCGGCAATCTTGGGGAAAAGTTATCCACCCAAAGTCATTTCGGCAGGCCGTTAATTGAAAGTGAAATTGAAACTGATTGAAGCTGACTCCAGTTGATCCACTTACGGTAATCTTCCCCGCGAAGACTCGGCCAAAAACAACCGGAATCCCCGCGGTGCCGGGCTGCTCTTTCCGCAGAAGCGGGAAGGTGTACCGCCGAGAGTTCCCTTCCCGGAAAGTGTAATCCCCGCTGAGAGCGAGCTCAGGTACAAATTAGCGGCTGACATTTTCCGGGAACGCGTGAGACCCTTCCGCATGATAGACTAAACATGCATATTATCATATCATCCAACACATGATGTGTTTATATGTGGAGTAAATAAGAAATCCCCCTGTGATTATGATACCAGTGTGATCATTTGTGACGACATAATGTAGTTAAAGTATGACCATCCTAACTTTGCCATAAATGTGGTTATGTAACACTATACACCAGCTATACACCGTTAGAGACCTTTGCGCATGGTAGACTAAACATGCATGTTATCATATCGTTCAACACTTGATGTGTTTATGTGTGGAGTAAATAAGGAAATCCCCTTTTGATGATTATATCAGTGATTATTTGTAACGACGTAATCTAGTGAAATTATGACCATCCTAACTTTGCCATAAATGTGGTAATGCAACACTTACACCAGCTATACACCGTTAGAGACCCCTCTGCATGCATATAATATCATTCACAGCATATGATGTGTTTATGTGTCGAGTAAATAAGAAAATCCCATCGTGATTAGTATAT